TCACTAAATGGTTCTAAAATCATCGTTTTTCTCATCGGAAAATATGGAATACCAAAACGACATTTAATACAATCTTTTACATATTTTTTACAAGTATGTGAGTGCTTATGACGTTGTAAATTGATAAGTTCTTCAGAAAATTCCGTTGGCTTAGAACTAACCGAAATCAATTTATCAATAAATTCTATACATCTTTCAATTGATTCAGGATTATTTTCGTCATATTTTGGAGCATTCTTTAACCATAGTAGAGCATGAACATGTGGTGAACCACGAACTTGGAATTCAGTTCTGACATATTTGTCTATTAATTCATAGCCTTGCAATGGACCACAAGGAGCTGATAATATTTCCCATAAACATTTTAATCTATGTTCAAAATAACGAACACATGTTACATGATCATTTCTTATCAAATCGCATTTCTTTTCATAACTCATACTCTCTGCTTCTTCTAATGTTATTACTTTATTTTCCAAAACTTGAGTTAATATTATAATAAGTTCTGACCACTGTGTTTCTGCTGCTGATAATGTTAAAAATAGTGTTGGACATCCTAATTGCCTGATCATTGCCATAACTTCTTTCTTTTTTAGTTTCCAAAATGCTGGTGAAGATCGATCACATCTTAAGAATGTAAAAGCATCATCATTATGTATTAATCCATCTACATAATCTCGATTGAGCATCTGTGTAGCAGTTACGTTTTTCGTATTTTTTGTTTTTCTCAAATTTATTGAAATAGCATCAGAGAACTTTCTTGTTTGTAGTTTCTTATATGTAAAAAATAGTTTCGATACTCTTCCACATCTTCGATCAAACATTCTTAGTTCTGACTTGGCAATTTTAGCATAAGTCAATTTGACATTTGGTTTGATTTTTCTTTGTTTTCCACAATAAATTTTTGGAAATGTTAATTCATCGACTTTCAAATCCATCAAAATAGATATTGGCTTGTTATTCTCTCCCGGAGCAAATTTAATACCAATATCATTTTGATCATCAATCTCATCATTTAATAATGTTTCAGTAGCTTCTTGATTGATTGGCTTATCGTCACATTCATTCCAATTGTCATCGTCATCAAAACCTTTTCCTGTGTTTTCATTCTCAACAAATTTTTTATCTTCATCATTAACAACAAAATTTTCTCTTCCATTGGAATATTCGTTCAGCCAATTATTAGATATAACAATGCCTTCATCTTTATATAGTTCTTGTTCAACAAGATATTTTATAGCTGTATGTACAACTTTTGGTCGAATTGTTTCATACATAAAAGCATTTTTATTTTTCATTTGTCTCATGAGTTTCAATTGAATCGTGTGAGTATCGCTAAAACTTCTGAGTAATATTGAAACATTTGTGTCAACATTCATGTGAACATTTACTAAATTACCTTTGAGACCAAATTGTTTACAAAAGTCTAAAGTTCGAATTACCATAAAAGGAATTCTTGGTGATATCAATCTTTCTTCTAATTCAGTCAAGATTTTCAAACAATCCGGTACTTCATAGAATGCTAAGCCGTTAGATAGGCAGAGATTAGGTATTTTACCCAACATGATGTCCTTTCTACAAGTAACACATAATTTAATGATCGCATGTTTTAGATAACAAACTGTATTGATAAATTCTGCTTTTAATCCTTTGTTTGTTAACATCTCGACTGTATATTCTCTGATTGAATACTCAAACCATAAACCACCGCAACAACTACAAATATGAGTAGGTCCTTCTTTTATTTTTGACTCATAATTTGATTTCATGCTATCAAAATTACTTTTGTATTTATCTGTACTATTGTGCATTCTTAGTGCATTTCTCCTTCTCTTTTCTTTGAATTCATCATCTTGTCGTTCAATTTTATGAGCATCAGCTCTTCTTTTATTTTCTTCTGTTTTGAATTCATTATCATGTCGTGCAATTTTAAGAGCTTCTGCTCATTTTTTATTTTCCTCTTTTTTAAATTCATCATCTTGTCGTTCAACTTTATTGGCATCAGCTCGTCTTTTGTTGTCTTCTGTTTTAAATTCTTCATTTCGTCGTTGAGCTTTGTGAGAATTTGCTCGTCGTCTATTGTCTGACAAGCGGAACTCATCATTATTTCCTTTTTCTCTCATTCTTTGTGCCATCTCGGCATTTCTTTGAGATATCGATCTTCTTTTTGTCTTCGGCATTTTTCAACCGGTTAAAAAAATTACCAGCTGAATAAATAATAAAATAAAGAGTAACAATGTGATTAAATTAGTTGTTAAAATCTTAAATAATCACAGCTTCTCATTCAAATTTAAAACGTATATATACTAAGTACAGTTTGCACTTAGTTAAAAACGTGTTTATCTCAGAATTTATTGAGATATATACATGGAAAAGTTTCTTTCGAAATAAATCTTCGTTTAAACTAGGTGAAGAAATATTCCATACTAGGTAAGAAACTTTAGAATGTCAAAAACTTGACAACCTTCCTTCAAGAAAAAATTCAAATTGTATTTTTTTAATTGTTTGAAGATGATTATTATAATTAAAATCTAAAAAATGAAATAAATCAATTTAAGACAAAAAACGAGTGATTGAAATATAAGTATTATATTAATGATCGAGAAATTATTTAGTGGTTTATCTTTTGTGAAACACACCCTGAAAGGAGTGTTGAAGTTTTTGGGGGTAAAAATTTCCCCCCCCCCCCCCCCTCACAGACCGTGACAGAGAAATTCCATACCCATTACAGACCGTGACAGAGGAACCAAATACCCATCACAGACCGTGACAGAAAATTTCAGAGACCATCACAGACCGTGACAAGAAAAAGAAACATAATAAACAGCATTGCTTGTATTAAGCCCCCCTCCTAAAAAAAAGTCACTTTTCGTCAGAACCATTGATATTGAGATAAATGCATAGGAAGATGGCCCATGATCTGATCTTTCATAAATGACGAAAATTTTTTATCGGCACCTCGTTTTTTCCAAAAATTGTTGAGGATTTCCGTCATCCCCTATTCGAAAAATAAGCCACTTTTGGAAAAAGCCGAAAATCTTTTTCGTTTTTTCTCGGTGTATGATTTTTTAATTTTGCTTCCAAGATTTCTCGTTCCAGTGTCTTTCAATATATATAAATTTTTTTTTGCTTGAAAGAGCACATCAAGATGCAGGGCACTACAGAGTCCGTTTTTTAATTGAGCTTTGTTTTTTATTATATATACAGACATTTATGTAACTAGACACCCATTTTTGGCGCGTTTTTTGAGTCATTGAACTTGCGATCTCCTTTCTCCGCTAAAAAAGTAAGAATTTAAAAAAAGGACTCTGTGGTGCCCCGCATCCTGACATGCTCTTTCTAACAAAAAAAACAAACATATAGCATGAGCCTAGACCGAGAAATCTTGGAAGCAACATGAGCTATTTTTGATCCTTGTTTGGTTCATATCTCTGTCAAACATCAGGGTATCGAGCTGAAAATTTTACCACAGCCTCCTCACTTCAGCCCCAACATATGCTCCAAATTTCAGCCCATTTGAACGTACCTGGACTGAGATCGGTTTTTGAGTGGAGGGGGCCTTAACGCAAACATAGTGCCACTCCTTTAACTGCAATACTTTAAAATAATAAAAAGGCATTTTAGAATATACTGGCTGAAACTTCTATTAAAATCAAATATCATCTGAAATAGATATTTTGTAAAAAAAAAATTATTTAGGTATAAAAAAATTTATTTAGGTATGAAAAATTTTTTGTCAACAGCATTACCAGGATATGCCGGTCTACATGAAAATACAGTTAAAAGGCCGATTAAAAAATTATATTCAACGAAATTGTTAGAATTACAGGAAGAATTAAAACAAGTACATTATGTTTGTTTAATGGCCGACTTATG